ACATATACAGTGTGAATATATGTATATATATATATATATATATATATATATATACATATACATTATATAATATTAAAGATGACCATTTCCATGCATGCATACATACATGCATAAAGACGTATATATATACATATATACATATATATATGTATATACATATGTATATACATACATATTTATATATATGCATATATGCATATATGCATATATATATATATATATATAGGTGAACATATATAGATATTTATTCATATTCAAAAGTATATGTATATATATATAATATATATATATATACATATATATATAACTTCCGTATAAAAGATATTAATAATATGCCTCCTCTACTACATACAGCGCGTAGAGGCGGGTGTAGGGGCTGAGGCCCTTTGGGGTGTCTCCTCTATCTTTGTTATTAAATAAACATATAAATAAACATATTTCTTCTTCTTTGCATGCATCCCGCAACTATTTGTTTCTTATTTGAATTAAAAGAAGAGAGACAGACACCCAAGAGAAGGAGACAGATAAACATAAATATAAAGAGACAGAGAAGAGGAGTAAAAGATACAGATACAACAAACTATACAGACAGAGACAGCTTAAGTAGATAAAAGAGACACAAAGGAGACAGATAAGTGGAAAGCAGACAGAAGAGAGACACCTGAAAGAGACAGAAAGGAGACATATTAAACACATAAAGGAGGCAGAGGGCGGCTGACAGAAGAGAGACAGAGACAGATAAAACAGAAAGAAAGGAGACAGATAAAACAGAAAGGAGACAGATAAAACAGAAAGGAGACAGATATAACAGAGACACAAGAGAGGCAGATATAGCAGAGAGAAAGGAGACAGGTAGAGACAGAGACAGCCGAAACAGAGACAGAAGAGAGACAGATGCCGAGAGAAGTATAAGAAACAGCTGAGAAGGCATAAGAGAGACAGAGAGCGAAGAAACAAGAAGAAGAGATAAACCAGCAGATAAGGGGGACACAAGAGAGACAGCAAAAGGAGACAGAGAGGCAAGACAAAAAATAAACAGAGTCCGAGAGGAGACAGCTGCAGCTTTAGGGGCCCCTTAGGCCCCTATAGCTGCAGCTGTCTCCTCTCTAGGTGTCTCTTTAGGAGTCTCTTTGGCTTTAAAGGAGACTCCTAAAGAGACACCTAACTACAGAGACACTTAAGGAAACACCAGAGTGAGGTGACACCTGAATTAGGTGAGGAGACACCTCATTGAGGTGAGGAGACACCTCATTGAGGTGAGGAGACACCGCAATGACGTGCGGAGACACCTCAATGACGTGAGGAGACACCTGAATGAGGTGAGGAGACACCGCGTGTGCCATGGAGAGGAGACAGCTGAAGATTAAAGGGGTCTCCTCCACTACTCTGCTGTCTCCTTTTCTTGCTGATGCATCGTTAAGACGCATCTAATGCATTTGCCCCTTCTTAATAAATCAAAGGCCTCTTCAATACGTTCGAGGGGTAGGCGATGCGTAATGTAGCGGTTTAAGCTGTACGTACACCACAATAACAACAGCAAATGGGTAGACAAGCAGCCTTCTGTCTCTGTCTCTCTCTTTCTTTGTCTCTGTCTCCTTCACCCTCTGCCTCTTTTATCTCTCTGCCTAAGCCGCTCTCCGTCTCTGTCTTGTCTTGTCTCTGTCTTCTTCTTCTGTCTCCCTTCTGTCTCTGTCTCCGTTTCTTTCTCTCTCTGTCTCTCTCTGTCTCTGCATATTGCTGTCTCCGTCTCTCTCTCTCTCTCTTTGTGTCTGTCTCTCTTTATCTCTCTCTGTCTGTATGCGTGTATGCATATCTCGCCTCCACTCCTTCAGTTCTCTATGCTACTACTTTTAATAATTTAATGCTTTATTATTTTTATTAATTTATTACTTTATTACTTTATTACCCTATTACTTTATTACTTTATTACTTTCCTTATCACTGTCCTCCTTTATTATTTTATTTTTTAACTATTTAATTGTTTTATTGCTTAAAGATAAAACAATTATTAGATCTGTTTGTTTACTCAATAGTATGAGACGCATGCATGTTTATTAGCTGAGGTATATCTCTGCGGGGTCTCCAACCACCAAATGCAGCGCCTTTCCACTGTCTCCCCACAATCAAATTAAAAGGCCTCGTCTTTATCTCTTCTCCTTGTCCTGCAACCCTTTTGATAAGATACGTACAAACATATAAATATATATTTATTTATATATATATATATGTAGATAAATATAATTATATTATATATATACATTAGATGCATATATATATTGATTCAGGAGACAAACACGCGTATATATATATATATACACCAGATAAATTATATACATATGTATTAAAGACAAGCATATATATATGTATATACATATATGTATGCATATATATTGTAGATAATATATATACATATATATGACAGAGCTAAAGAGAGAGACAGAGACAGAGACAGAGAGAAGCCGAGACAGAGACAGCGCCAGACAGAGACAGATACAGAAACAAATACGGAGACAAAGACAAGTGTAGAGAGCAGACAGCAACAGAAAAGGAGACAAATAAATGCGCAGACACTGCTTACCCCAACACCACGGAGACACCCCAGCCCTTCTTTGTACACTCCAAAGCCGAGCGCATGACTGCAACATTACCCGTGCAGTCAAACGAAAAATCTACTCCCCCTATACACCCCACAGCAGCAGCAGCAGCAGCAGCAGCATTAGCAGCAGCAGCATTAGCAGCAGCAGCAGTCGTGGCAGTAGCAGCAGCATGAGCAGCAGTAGTTGCTCTTGAAGCGTATCCAGCAGCAACAGCAACAGCACCAGAAACAAGCAGTTGCAGCAGCAGCAGCAACAACAACAGCACCACCAACAACAACAGCAACAGCAACAAGAGTGCCAGCAGCACCAGAAGCAGCAGCAACAGCAGCAACAGCAAGAGCAGCAGCAGCAGCAAGAGCAGCTACACAACTAACTCCGAGCTGCGCTGCTCCCATGCCGCACACAGAAGGCGCAGCGGTGTCTCCTCTATTAGGAAGGAGACAGGGACAAAGGGTCTCTTGCTGCTGTTTGTTCATTGTAACGATTCCCTCTGTACCTAAACCCTAACCCCTATCCTGTCTCTACTTCTCTCTCTGTCTCTCTCTGTCTCCGTGTCTGTCGCTGTCTCTATCTCTGTTTCTATCTCTATCTCTATCTCTATCTCTATCTCTATCTCTATCTCTGTCTCTGTCTCTGTCTCTATCTCTGTCTCTGTCTCTGTCTCTGTCTCTATCTCTGTCTCTGCTTCTATCTCTCTGTCTCTACTGGGTTGTTCTTACCATTGAAGTGCTGCATAATATATCTCTATACTACATCTGTCTCTGTCTTTATATCCGTCTCTGTCTTTATATCTGTCTCTTTCTCTCTGTCTCTATCTCTATCTCTATCTCTCTGTCTCTTCTTGTTGTTTGCCTCACCATTGAAGTGCTGCAATATATATTCAGCAATCGGAAGCCCTTCACAGTCATGAGGAGACAGATAATCAGTAGCCCCGAAGCGTAACGCTTCTTCGCCTCTGTCTCTGTTTATATCTATTGCTATTATTTGAGACGCCCCCGAAAGGAGACTCCCCTCTATGCATGCCAAGCCCACAGCCCCAAGCCTGAAAAACAATACAAGTTTGCTTCTTTCTTTTTTAATCACGCATGCATATATATTTATATATTTATATATATATTTATATATTTATATATATATATTTATATATATATTTATATATTACTCATAGGTATATATACTATATCAACACGCAGAAATATATATATATTTGCATATATGAATACATATGTACATATATATATATATATTATATTTATGTACACATAAATATATATATATATATATAATATACACATAAACGGAGACAAGGAGACAAAGAGACAAGGAGACAGAGACAAAGAAACAGAGAGAAAAGGAGGGACAGACGGAGATAAAGAGACGGAGACAGAAGCAGAGACAGAGACACACAAACAGAGACAGAGAGACAGAGACAGAGACAAAGAGACACAGACATAGAGACAAAGAGACAGAGCCAGAGACAAAGAGACAGAGAGACGGAGTGACAGAGACAGAGACAAAGAGACAGAGACAGAGACAAAGAGAGAGAGGGACAGAGACAGAAAGAGAGAGAGAGAGAGAGGCAGAGACAGACTGACCCGAAGACAGCTACGGTGTCTCCTTTCTGCACCTTCGCCGTATTAAGAACTGCCCCTAAGCCAGTGGAGACCCCACAACCCAGCAAACAAACCTGCAGCAAAACATGCGCAGACACCTGAGGAGACCTGAGGAGACACCTGAGGAGACACCTAAGGGGACACCCGAGGAGACATTTGAGGAGACACCTGAGGGAACACCCGAGGAGACACCTGAGGAGACACCAGAGGAGACACTAGAGGAGGCGATTGAAGAGCCACATGTACAGCCTATGGGGCTGCAAGATGGAACAAGGGCAAGAGAGAAGAGAGAGAAGCAGCCTAGCAGCAGCGCAGCAGCAGCAGCAGCAGCAGCAGCAGCAGAAACTGCAACGGAGGCAGCCAGCGCATGCATGCAGAGACAGCGCATGCATGCAGAGACAGCTGCAGCGGGGCTTGCTGCTCGTACTGTCTCCAAGGGCGCTGTGGGGTCTATTCTGGCTACAGACTCCTGGTGAACTACGGTGTACTGCGCAAACCTGAAGAGACACCAGAGAGGAGACGAGGAGACACACAAAAAGAGAGAAGAGACACATAAAGGGAGACAAGCGACGCATGAAAGGAGACAAGCGACGCATGAAAGGAGACAAGAGACACAAAAAAGGAGACAAGAGACACAAAAAAAGGAGACAGGAGACACCCCAAAGGAGACAGCTGAAGCAGAGAAAGAGGGCGTATATAAGAAGATGATGCAGAAACGAAAGGTAAGGCGAGCAAGGAAGGAGACAGCAGAGAGATAAGCAACATTCTCTTTATATATCTCCTTAGTTACTTACGCGGAGACACCCATAAAATGAAAGACAGGGCGTCCATCAAGCAGCATAAATCGGGTGTCTCCGTCTCTCTTCATTACTCCTCTGCCTGTATAGCTCCTCAGCTTGCCGCATAGGTTTGTTTTGTTTTGTTCATATCCTTCGCATGTTAAGCAACTCCTCTTCTTCCTATCAAGCTCAAAGCACTCGGCCTGAGGTGTACAGACACCGCAGCACTGACCCTTACTTAGCCCCTTAGCTCTACGTACACCGCAGATATATTCTTATATATATTATCGCAATCAAACAAAAACAACAAATGGTCTGCTTCTCTACTTCTTTTCTTTCTTTTTATTAATATAAAGGCATTCATTCGCTGATACTCTCGCTCCAAACTCTAAGGGCTTAAAGCCTACTTAGGGTTTAGGGTTTAGGGTTTAGGGTTTAGGGTTTACCTGATAACAAAGGATAACATGGTCCCCTACTTCACAGGTTTCTACTTGGTCTCCAACCGCCTCAACAATGCCAGAGGCCTCGTGCCCTAAAATGCACGGAAAAACCCCTTCAGGGTCTCTCCCGGTGCGAGTATACTGCAGCAGCAGCAGCAGCAGCAGCAGCAGCAACACAGGCAGCGGCAACAGCAGCAGCAGCAGAAGGAGCAGGAGCAGCAGCAGGAGCAGGAGCAGCAGCAGAAGCAGAAGCAGAAGCAGAAGCCGCAAGAAGCAACATCAGCACAAGCAGCATACGCACAAGCAAGAAAAAGAGAAGCAACTGCAGCAGCAGCTGCAGCAGCAGTATATGCAGTATCTGCCCCTGAGGTGTACCGGCACGCATCCCTAAAGAGAGACACTATGAACCAAAAGGAGACAGGAGACAGCCCCGAACCAGAAGAAGAGAAACAAGAAGAGGAGACACGGAGGGAAAGGAAGAGACAAACAGCAGCAGCAGCAGCAGCAGCAGCAGCAGCAGCAGCAGCAAGAACAAAGGGGCCTAGAAGAGACACCAAGAGAGAAGCAGCAGCGCATGCAAACAAACAAAAAGAAGTGGGCTGCTGCATAATGCAGTAATATAACCTCTAATATAATATAATAAAGGCGAGGTAATATTATAAAAATACAGAGACGAATATAAAATAAAAACATCTTACTAAGCCAAGACAACGCAGTATAATAATACCGCAGGGATTCATACAAAGCAGCATCATTCATAGAAAGGCAACATAAATATAAATATAAATATAAATATATATATATATATATATATATATTTATATATATATTTATTGAGAATAACAACAATAAAAGAGACTAATTGAAGAAAAAGGAGACAAAAGGAGACAAAAGGAGACAAAAGGAGACACTTACTTCATCGGTGTGGCAGGGCGCTGCATACAAAATCTTCACTCGCACTTCGCCAGCTTGAGGAGGAGCAACGCGTACACTGCAGAGCTGCATATACACCCCAGACACAGCAGAGCTGCATATACACCCCAGACACAGCAGAGCTGCATATGCACTCCGAACACTTTCAAGCAAAGCAGCAGCAGCAGCAGCGGCAGCAGCAGCAGCAGCAGCAGCAGCAGCAGCAGCACACTTTTGTCTCCTTTATGCCCCCGCCATTGTCCTAGCAACGAAAACACCAGACCTCACGTACATAGAACATACACGTACATAGAAACATCAATTAAGACCCCAGGGGGGCCCCTAGGGGGCCCCCTGATGGCGTCAGGGGCCCCCAACGCTCCTTGGAGGGGCCTTTGGGGCCCCTTTAAACCACCCGGAGGACCCTAAGGGGCCCCCGGGGCTTCTCTTGTGGCTCTGTGGGGCCCTATAGAGGCATCCCTACAGGGCCTTTAGGGGGACCCTAGTGGTACCTCAGAGGCCCCCGGGGCTACCTTTAACGCCTGTAGAGCCCCTTTGGGGGCCCCTAGTGCTCCTGGGGGCCCCCATGGGGCCACGCTAACGAAACGTGAGGCCCGTGAGGGGCCTCCGTTAGGGCCCCCCCCCCTTTGGAGCCCACTATGTTGCCTGGGGGCCCCCTTTAGGCTCCCTTTAGGGTCCTTTGGGGGCCCCCTTTAGGCTCTCTTTAGGGTCCTTTGGGGGCCCCCTTTAGGCTCCCTTTAGGGTCCTTTGGGGGCCCCCTTTAGGCTCCCTTTAGGGTCCTTTGGCGGCCCCCTTTAGGCTCCCTTTAGGGTCCTTTGGGGGCCGCCTTTAGGCTCCCTTTAGGGTCCTTTGG